TGTACAAAGAAATACAGTAGGATGGTTCCATCATATGACTAACTCGCGCGTTAGCAACTGCTCCATATCCAATCTCCGAATACTAATAACCTACGAATGTCTTCTACTCTTACTGGCTATGCTACGCATCCATACAGTAGGATGGAGTGCACTGCTTCGCAGTACACTTGTCCTTTGGTTAGCAAACAGATATCTTGCCTACGTCATAAGTGACGAAGGTTGGCAAAAGCCAATCAAGCCTTCTGTATCCGTGCTGAGATTTCGCCAGTCACCAGGCCATCAGCGCTGATCAGACTCCCGAGATAAGTGAGGCGATCGACGCGCTCAACTACTTCACTCCCTATCCCTAGTTCCGGTGCCGATGCAAGCACATCTTGAAGCAACATTTTGCATTTCGAGGGTGAGAACCGCATCACGAACATGCTTGCATTGTTGCTTAGGGTAGTCAGTAGACTTTGTATTTTGTCAGCGTCTTCACGAAATAGAACTGTCATCATCATGCTTTAAGTCAGCAAGCATGTCTCCTAGTTGAAGGTTCAACGCTGAAAAGTCAGACGAACTAATGTGAAAACGTTATAGATACATCAAATCAAAGCAAAATATCCAAATGCACTGAGTTAATGATCACATATTTTAATTAGAATCAAAAGCATTCAGAAACATGGCACTCAATCTTTCTAGTAGTAACAGTTGGTTATATATGATCCTACAGTTCACTGCTCGGTCGCTGTGTTCATTTGAACTAAGAGACACTTTCATTGGCAGCACGTTTTGCATGCGAAATGGTATCAACAACTGCAAAAACTAAAGAAATACTTAAATCTTTATAGTTTAAATAGTGGATTATCTCCACCAGACCATCAATGAAAACCATGAAACCCAGAAAAGGTGTTTCAACAGTACTCATCGACGACATCATCGAGAATCGAACCCAGTTGTATGAGCAGACATTTAACATTTAAACCATTGATCTGACATCTAACGGTCCAAATTATTAATTTTAATTAATTTATAATAACGCATAATCATCTTATAGAGTACCTGATGGGCAGCTGCCCCAAATTTAACATGACTGAACTTAACTAGTGTTGGATTCTCAATAGAAGCACAGATATTTTGGCCTGAAGTTAGTCACTGATGCTAGTCCTCAGTACTTCCTGGTTTTGAATGGCGGTCTAGCTAAGATCAGTTCCTGATTTAGGCTATGAAACTTCCCTACTATCCACTAAACTGTTGCAGAAATACCCACGATTTACTTGCCAAACATTAGTTCTTTGCAAAAATATTCTAAAAAATAACTTGGAACGGATGTCTTACGATTGGAACCTTTATGAACCTATAGTTAAACTCGGAAACGTTTCGATTCATTCAATGTGAATACTAAAGATGATTAGTATCCAAGCCTTATCATATTGGTAAATGTCATCAGACGGATCAGTTCAAAAAGTTAGTGATTTATCTGTTAATTTACTAGACTATTTAGTAAACACGCACAATAAATATATTTTAGATATTCACTTATTCATACACCTAATATTATGGAGATTGTTTACATTGTTATTTTACAAACAATTTATGATCAGTGTTGAGCTCGCTTCATAGAAGACAAAATATAATGCTGGAAATAGAATTTTATCTTGAAGAAGCTAGTTGCTCGAAAAATCCATTTTTAAAGTACATTATATCACGTGAATTCAAGATACTAATTAGGAAACACAAATAAAAAGTGATTATTAAAACTTCATTGTAGAAATATAAGCAGATTTAGAATGGATAAAAATAATAAAGAAAATTTGCAGTTAAGTAAAATAATCCAAGAATGAATCATTGGTATATGTAGAAAATGTATCACGTCGATTAGTTTTACCGAAATTATTGTGATTTAAAATAAAAGAGAAGTTAAGAAAGGATTTGACCAGAACGAAAGTGATTCGCCTACAAAGTAAGATGATTTGGTAATCTGAAGCACTATTACAAGGTTGAAGGACAATAGTTGTATTCCTTGACCTTAAAGTTGCATTTGACTCAGTTGATTGTGAGGTTCTATGGAAGTGTCTGTCACTGAAAGGTATATCAAAAAAGTACATCGTCCTTTTACGGGCTCTTTCTTCGAATACTACTGGTCTAATCAGAGCTTACGGCAAACGGTCATCAGGATTGATTACGTCGAGTGGTGTTCGTCATGGTTGTCCACTCTCTCCATTCTTATTTAACTTTGTCACTGACATGCCTTTATAAACGAGGCTTTCATTATCTGACTTTTTAGAAGTTGACCTACTAGAAGATTCACTTTATGAATTATAATACGCAGATGATATAGTTGTTTGATTAAGACGCTGACAAAGTACAACCTTCTGACCACCATAAACAACAGTGCAAGGATGTTTGGGATGTGAATCTCCCACTCTAAGTGCAAACTTTTGTTTCAGGATTGGCTTGCATCAGTACCCAAACTGGTGATGATAGGGAGTGAAGTATTTGAGCGTGTTGGCCGCTCCACTTATCTTGGGATTCTCGTCAATGCTGATGGCCTGGTGTCGGATAAAATATAGAAGGCTCGGATAGCTTTGGAAAACTTGCGTCACTTATGGCCTAGGAGAGATGTCCGTCTACTAACCAAAGGACGAGTTTACTGCGCAGCAGCACTCCATCCTAGTTTCAAGGTGTGAAAAATGACCACTAAGAATGGAGGATATTGGTAGATTATTGATATTCGACCATAGGTATCTTCCAAGCATCGCTCATATATCCTTGGACAATCGAGTAAGCAATGCTTGTGTCAAGAAAAAAGCACAACGTACAGGCGACAAATCAACTGAAAATTCGTTCATCAATGCTTCAAAATCTTACTCAATAATAACAATTTGGTTTGTTATACTAGACTCATTTCAGTTGATTGATCAAACTGGCAATATATATAACGTTCAGATATGTATCTGCAACTTTAATTGATGTCGACAACCTCAACTGGTAGTGAACAATTAAAAATTAGAATGATTCTGACCTAATATAATCAAAGCACTAACAAATGTGCAAATCAATGGTAAACGGTAGTTACAACGCCATAAAACGTTACCACTGACAGTTTAAGCAGTTGTACAATAACATTTACGATGAACAATAATTTTTGCTTCCAACTGTTTTAATCCTTCTGTCACATGATGCAGTCTCGTTAACTCATGTCGATTTCGTGGCTAGGAAACGTAATAGTGAATCTCCATCAGTTGACTTGGTTGATACATGTGTAATGTACGTCCAACCACCGACTTTCTCGACGAGAGATGCTGTTTGATGTAGGAAAGGAAGCTAAGATCGGCCAAACCAAAACATAGCATAAATCCTTAAATTCGCTTGTAATGGTGCAGATGCTTCCTTCCTTTGTCTTCTCTAAAATTCTAATCTTCTGAATTCCCCACGACCGTTCATCTATTTTTAAATTGATTTTACCGGATTATACTTCTCGAACCATATCTTCGAACCCTTCAATTTTCGATTATCGCTAATACTGCTACTACCCTTATTACCAAAGGCTTCGAATTGACGATTCGCTCTCTGTGTTAATGTGGTATGGGAACTTGAACTAACGTATGTAGGAGACAAGTTCTACGTTGTAGCTAACTGATAATCGTTTGGGATTGTTACAGTCACTTCAGAAGGAAAATAGTCTAACATAACTATTCATTGTAATAGGTATAATTAAGTAGAAGCTGGGGAGGATCTAACTGAATACAATAACTTTTGTGTAAATAATTTTGACGAAATAGTGTCTAGACAACTAAACACTGATCTCACCGAAATATAGTTGCTTTTAGCATGTTTTCGTCAGTTACCATACCATTAGGCTCATAGAGATTTTAAAATACAATTTTCGAACTATAAAACATATCGTGCCAATCAAAATCGATGTTTTACGAACAAAATATGAAGGAACTTGGAAGATCTATGGACAGAAAAATTTTTAAATTTTAAATATACTCTGAATTTACACAAGTTGAAGACGAGAATTAACAAGTGCTTTGCTCCTTTGGATTATGACACAATGTTCCTCTAACTTAACATGGGTTTAGCTATAATCTCAGCTGATACGATAAACCACGAACACTTTGATACTCATGTCACGTTTATAATGATTATCAAATACTTTGAAGCTTTATATGATGTACAGAGCGGTAAGTATTAGAAAACTTAATACACAAATATCACGAAAAAGACTTAAATGAACTACCTTGGTGATTATGAAACGTCAATGAACATCTCCCAAATTTAGAAACTCAATGTATGTAAATTGTGCTTGAACACTAGAGACATTATCTGATTTCTAAAGTGAGAAACTGAATTGTGAGCGGCTACATTTTTGGCATTGATACTCAGTGATCGAGAAGTAAATTAAGTGAGAACTAGAATTCAAGTGTTCATGAGCATATATTTGAGTGCTCAAATTAACATGTACAGTAGTAATAAACAACAAAAGTATAATAGGACTAAGTAAGCGGGTAGGTCTCAATAATAATAATAATAATAATAATAATAACAATAATAATAATAATAATTGTGGTCTAACAATGATTGATTCATGATTTTAAGGCAACATAAATGTACCGGAATAACGAAGGAATTATGCCTATTTTTGGTTGAGTTAGATTTACATTGACACCGAAACCCCAATGTAGCTTAAAGGTAATCCATAAATCGTAGCCTCACCGTTTTAGAGATACTAACTTGAGCAGAGACGCACTTTCAAGAAACAAATGTCAATGGTCATCACAGCAACATGATATGAGCATCCTCATAACCACGGAGACTAAAATATTTGTCACAGCAATGAGAATAACATAATCAAATGACACTTTATTTCCATGGTTATCTTGAGAACCACGGAATGAAAAAACCGGAAATATTCCATCAATCATACGTTCGACAATAAGTTAGACTGTAATTAGACCAGAACCTTTCGAGTGTATCATGCATCAACAGAGCATTATATACAAAACCAAACTTACAACTAATGTCATAGGACCCGAAAACCTGTAGATTGCATTTGTCAGGTGAATAAAGTAGAAAAATAATGAAATAAATGTAGTCAAGATTGCAACGAAGAATAGCCATCCACCAGGGCCAGGAATGACATAATTCGGTGAGACAGCAATAAGAATGATAAGTATAATATTAAGGACGATTTCCACAATTTTGAATACCGCTGGTATTGTACTTGCATAAGCAGTGTTAAGAGACATCCTGGACAGAGTTTCAAAAAAACGCCTTCCTATTCTCGTAAGTAGAAAAAACAGCCTATCCAATATTCAATATCTATTTCAGGAGCTAGTATTAACCACTTGATTTCTTTGCACTCGATTCTTGTTCTTTCGGTACGGTTCTAGGTGTTTCGTGGTGTCAGATAGATGGTGGTCAAACCACTGTATCGCCTAATTATAGTCAGTTAGCAGTTGTTTGTGAGTTTGTATGTCACGCGATTTGAATGAAAACGTCTGTTTCAGAGCGGTAGGGTTTGTGAAAACCAGAAGCTATCATGTGACCAAGCGGGTGGAATAAGTCTGTGATCTGAAAAGATGGCAATAATAACGACTAGCAAGTCTCAAGGCACGCATCATGCACAGCTTATCCACTAGGTTGATAATAATCCGTATTTGAATACGTGTTTATCATTCTCTTCTTAAAGCTGTCCACTGAGGGGACTGTGTCACCCCGTCTACGAAAACATTCCGTAATGCGACGACTCATACTGAGGAAGTGAGTGCTCGAATCTGAGAGTTCACTCATCGATGAGCGATTATTCGGGGATTACTTCAAAAGACTTGGTGGTGATACTCACGATGAGATGGTTCGGCATGCTTAATATGTTGTACTACGCGATCAGATCAACTCTGATTCTTCTGTTACTCAAGGAGGATCATTTCAAGTGCTGGAGTCTTTCTTCGGAAGCTTTATTCTTCTAACCAATCACCTACTTCGTTGCTCGTCTCTGAACTCGGACCATGAGGTTTATATTTCTTCAGGTGCAGAGGCGAAAATGTCTAAAATAACCATATTGATTATTATTAGGTGATAGCAACAAAAAGTCTTCGCACTAAGTCAAGAGTTCATTTAGACATGGAAGCGTACTTGAATAGTCCGAAATATTTTGGAATATTGCAGTGTTTATTAAACCGAGAAAGCGTTCTCAGGAGTTAATGGATAGCAGATATTCGCAGACGGTGAAAGTGGATAGCGTCATGTGGGTCAGAATATGGATTAGCAAGTATCATTGTAAGGACGGTTGGTGATATAACGCACAAAACGATCTTCGAAGGAAAAGAATCTCACGGCATCTATTTCGCATCGAGAACAGACAACTAAATTTTAGTAGAGAACCTCCAGGCTCAAACTTAACACTGAATTGCCGGACTGATACAATTAGTCAGGAACATAGAAGTCAGTGCAGAAGGAGTGGAAAAAATAATCAAAGAGGTCGTCGAGAAAATGATGAAATTCTCTGAGAGCCTCTAGACAAACCCAAGAAAACATAATTCTCGAAGGAAGAGGGTAACGTGAAATACTCGGTCACTCAGAAGTGACAATGAGAAGGTCATTTAATGACCGTCAGAAAGTGCCCAGATGGACGAATGCATATCACAGGTGAAGAAAAGGCTTGTTTTTCAAAGCCAGTTGATACAAATGTGTAGTCTGTTATTGTTCATATTATTCCGTTGTCAAAAAGTCTTTCTCTTCTCCTAGTTGTCTGTTCTCTCTAGAAGCCGGTTCTGACGGTTAGAACTTTCCGCACTCGGATATCGGCACCATGCATCATAGCAGACTCTGGAGTCCCAAGCGAATATAAATCACATTACAAAGTGTCCACTACAGTAATCACACTTAATTAATTTCCCAACAGCAACTAAAGGAATTCCGACCATCTCAATTGAAAATGATCAAAATGACGACGGTGACGTTTTCATTTCAAGAAAAGCAAACTCAAATATCTCAGTTCAGGAGCCCAACTACCGGATTTGATGTGTTTTCTCTGAGTATGGATTCAGACAAATGGAATAATTCCAAGTCAGAACCACTACGAAATAGCTTTAGTCGTATCCATCAACTGCTCTTTCCCTAGTTGCTTCGGCAGCATGCACGCATTCATTCACTCGCAAACAGAGGACTGGTGGAAAGCGTACTGCATCCACTATTTTCCTCCTTCTAAAACTCCTATTACGCGTATTTTTCCCTTGTTTTTCATCCCTACACCTCTCAGGTGTCGTGATAAGTAATAAGGTTGCAACCGGTTATCACATAATAACGACAGAGAAAACCAGTAGAAGTATGTATTACGGGCTTAGTGGTAAGTTGAAAATCCCCGTCTCAAGCTACAGAGTTTTGAAAAAGCTCAAAATTTCACTTGATAACGTACCTCGGAGTAGTTTTCACAATTCGGTTCACTGGACCCAAGCACTTACGCTGAGTACCCAACATAGACATTGAGATGACACTACTCCAAATCTTACTCCTAGAAAGACCAGTAAGTAAAATAAAAATAGAAGTAAAAGTAGTCCTTATTGTCATCGCGATACTACAGTACCTAGAGAATGATATAGGTGCATTCTGAGTCACCTCTTTCTGTAATTCTGGTATATATGTCCACAGTGCAGCATCAACGAGAAACCAAAAAATTGGCATTAGCAAGTTACAGGCCCCGACGAAAATCAACCCACAAAACCCAACCTAACGTCCCAGCACTGAAACAACGAAACAGGAGACAAACGTAGCCATAACCCAAACCAACACACCGATAAAACTACCAGTTGCTGTAAACCCCACCAGTATTTTTCATAATTACGGAGCAGTAGGTGAGTTTGAAAGAGGGAAACGTTAACACTACAAATGGCAAAATTTTTCGAATCAGTGACGAGGATGGTAGACTAAGTTTGCTTATTCTATCCATTGTTCCAGTGTCGAAGGGTAGCTTACTGGAAGGTGGAGCTTGCTTTGATAAATAAAAATGGGACAAGTACTGCGCAATCCTCTTAATTTGCAATACCCAGGCCAGAATATGCCGTGTTTTCGATGGCGAGATCGTCGCTAATTTTAAACCCCATCTATGACGGTAACCTTAGAATCTGTACAACTTGCAGAAGATATCTAACCCACATCCCAAAGACAACTGTTTAGGCAGTCCTCCTGATCCAAGCCAGGAACGACAAACTGTGGTAAGTACGAGCAGCAGACAGGACATCAAAGGGCAGCCAAGAGCAAACCAGCAAAGTAGTCCATGGAGTACCCAAAATAGTTGGTGGTAGCTTGGATGAAGCTGACGCGCATGACGTGCATCAGTGGCGGTGGCTATCACTTAGATGGGCCTTCACACCACCACGGCAAATAGTACTTCTCGGCTGCCTCGTCCGTCATATATCGCGACCATTGAGTCACCACGTCTGAAGGCTGTAGACTTCAGAAATCCGGAAGACCTAAGTGAGGCGTTTCAGGCTCAGTACAGCTCGAAGAACGATCTCTCTAGCCATGTGAAGTGTTGAGAAAGCCCACCTAGAGAGGCTAAAATAAGATCACACAAATGACAGTTGAACTCGATCAACAACACCCAACTCAAGAAACGAAGATAACTGTTTGGCTGTTTGGACGCACTGCACAGACAAACAACTTGCATAGGTCAGTTCCCATAGAACTGGCCAACTAGGTTTAAACAAGTTATTCGAAAATCTGACAACGGCAGCTGCTGCAGAGGTGCACCAGATGATGGGACAAAACATCAAGTGCCCATAAAGCAACGTAAGAGGACTGAGGGGTAAGTTGTTAGAAATCAAGAATATATGCTCTCTGATGGATCCGACGATCATACTCCAAACTGAAACGTAGCTATCCCCTGACATTTCAGACGTCGAAGTGAGCTTGCAATGCATGATAGTCATCCGAAGCGATAGGATACACCAAATAGGAGACAGAGTGACTAAATACATTCATAATAATAATAATAATAATAATAATAATAATAATCATTAATAATAATAAAGAGCCATTTAATATATATATATATATGGTAGATATCATCCAGAATACTGGCGCGGCATTCGATGCTTGCTACATGCTAAGAAGAGAGCATAGCACAAGTGAAAGGTCCCTCTGAATGATTTCGGCCGTGCTTACTGCTTGGCGTTGATAAACTGTTGCAATACCAGAGTTCGAATTGATAAGAAACGCTTTCAGATGATGCTAACGGCCAAAATACATGAAAACTCTAAGCACCTATTTAGGTTCATGACGAAGAAAACCCATGAATAAGGTTTTGTGTTCTCTGAAAAGTCCGAATGGAGGGGACCTCACCAACCTATAGATGGCTAAGATCTTCAACACAAACTTCATCGATCTGGAGGTCCATAAGAAGCGAAGAGGATTCCACTGAAATTCGAAAGGACATTACATCTATTGAGGGATGGGCAGCGAAAAACGATTTAAAACTAAACCAGCTGAGATGTCGCATCATGAACATGCTGCCCCACATGACGCAAATGATTTGCACCCTTTACAGAATTCCTCTTCCCAAATTCTCCTCAGAGCGCGATATCGGCGTGATAACCACCGAAAGCCTCCACAACAGAACGAACTTTATAGGAGACGCAGCCAGGGCGAAAGCAACTCTTTACTTTATGCGAAGACAGCTTGATGCTAACACCCCAGAATTATTCTTTACATTGTTTAGAACGCATGCGAGCCTATATTTTAGGGTTCAAGACATTGTCGCACCTTCTCTCCTTAAAGTAGACACAAATCTCTTGGATCGAGTTCAGGGACAAGCACCGAAATGAATGATAGGCTTGGAGAATAAAACTTATGAAGATAGACTCCTGAGACTGCGATTATTCTCCCAGCGTTAAGGGAGAATCAGAGGTGATCAGACCATGGATTAATACACATTAGGCACGTCAAGCCATCCTAACGTGAGCACCATAGCTATGCGGCACCACCACTCCTCTCGTTGCAATCCTCGAAAAATTGCGCATCAAAGAGCGATTACTCAGGTTCATCACCTTGCAGCCGAGGTGACACAGTCCTCGCAGTGGACAGTCTTAGGACGAGACTTGATAAGTATATGCCCACACATCATATTCCTCGTGTACCAGCAGTGCTTGGTGCACAACTAGAAAATTGCTAGCCGTTAACACTGTCATTTCCTAAGATTGCTAACTCAGTCCATGCCGCTTACTATTCCCGTTTCCTCTTCTGTGCTTACACTTCAGTCCTCTCTCACAATCTTCAGTACCAATCAATAAACTAAACTATCCATTTATTTAATCGATTCGGAAATCTTATTCTCATTAGCATTAGAATTTTCGGCTTATTATGTTCCACATTGCAACTAACTGACCTGCGACCCTGTCACGTGATAGCTACTGGTTTCCAAAAACTCTACTGCCCTGTAACAGACGTTTTCCTTTAAATCACGGGGCATACAAACTCACAAACAAATGACAAACGACTATAATTAGGCAGTACAGTGGCTTGACCACCATCTATCTGACACCACTAAACACCTGGAACCGTATCGAAAGAACAATAATCGAGACCAAGGAAATCAACTGGTTAATACTAGCTCGTCAAAAAGATATTGGATATTGTAAAGGTCAAATATTTTAAACACTAGATGGTGATATCGTACGGAAAACATAATAAATACTCTGATGCCACTTAATTTCGAGTACGCTAGAGACATAAGAGCGGTATTCAAGATTTTAGAATTTTCAGTTGGTGTTGGTGTGATAGTTTCAATTGTTGTTGCTGATCACTATCGAATTACTGTAGTTGTTGGTTGTCTAGCATTCTTTGCATTAGTAGGGACATTAACTTCAATGTTTTTCTTCGTTTCGCACCTCTTCAGCTTCGTTTACAAAATTCCTGGACCTGTTACATTGATTGTGAGTTGATTTCTAATGGTATTCGTTTCTGTAAATCTGATAATGCGCAAATAATATTTTACTCAAAGTTAGTTTTCCGTATCTTTAAATTTAAAAAAGAGTAAGATTTTGTGCAACTGTGTTTTTTCTCGCTTGTATGACCCCGTTAATTTGTTATTTTAGAACTCTTCACGCCTTTATAATTCAGATGACTTATAATTTATGCATTAGGCTTTAAAAAAGTCTTGTATTCTAGGTAATATGGCTCAAAATTGCCCAACTATAGACGTTACTGTTCATTATGATCACTTATGTAGGGTAAATAAGAAATTTGAGTAAACACCAGTTTACAGAAACAAAGAGTTACGTTGAATATTGTATAATAACCAGTTGTCAATAAGGTATGACAGTTTCACAGGAAATTTATTTTCTCGAATTTTCCATGGTTACGTCTCTATTTCGAACATTGAATTTCAACTAAACAAAGAACATTAGTTCCCTAAAGATTTCACATGGAACATGGAACCAAGATTAAGAACTCCCCACTGTTAGCAACCAACCATCTCAAATAATAAATTCATTAAAAGTATAGAAATTTTGTAAATTTGCTCGTCGATTATGTTTTACAGACTAAGGAATAATAAAATTTACATTAGTTTAATATGTGTATTTGTAACCTCTGCATAAACAAGTTCATGAATAATATACCCGCAGCAACTCTACGCCTTCAAGTTCTTTTAATCCCATTCTAGAAGTATTTTATACGCCCTATAGTGATAAAGCTGAATTAAACCATTCGTTTTGTCGAATGAAATCAGCTAATACGTTTGAAAAAAATACTAATTAACTCATGAAAGATTTGACAGATATTTGACCCTGTCTATTCGATTGTAAGTCAGTCAGTCAGTTACAACGTACAACTTAGTGCTTACGTACGTAAGTTCAGGTTGACATACCTCGTTAGTACGGAGACGCAATTGTCAGTTTAAATCCGATAGTGATTGAGATAGTAGTATTCGGTAGTGATCAGTACGACATTTAAAAATCTTCCAAGAAAAAAGATAAATTTTATTATAATTCTGTAATTCAATTACAAGTTTCTTGTACTTAGCTCTATGCAACCAGTAATGTCTAAACTGAAAGGAAAATACGTCACACAGAAACCTAAACTTGGTTAATTCTTCCAGTAATTCGCCATCCAGATTTTTGTTATATCTTGTACTCAAGTTCGCTAATTATTGGTGGTCATTCATAACTGTTTTGTATAATCATGAGACACCTCCGTAGAGCGCGGCCATGATCTCACAAAGGATCAAATCCGGAGCTTTTTATGTCTTTTGAACGCTTAACATTTCGTCTACTTATGTGACATTCAAATATATTAAAGCCTAATTTTAAAAATTTTGGAAAATTATTGAAGTTAGACATGTTAATCGTAAGATTTCTATATGATGCATTTGGGCGACAGACTAAAGGTCTTGTGATCATAGATGCTCACTGCTTAGGCGATCCGGTACTTTCTGACTCTCAGTGGTGGTCTAGCCACGATCAGTTCGTAAGATATATTGGGGAAATCCCACAATGACCACATCGCTACTCGAGGTAGTAGGTGCTTGGGTATACATCGAACAAGTCGCAACCATCTTGACTGATGCAGATTCACTAATTTATCAACTGATATGTCACTCTTACCTAGAACCCTTTTCCCAACACCAGCATTGCTTACTCTATAGTCCCAGAATATACGACCATTGCTTCGAAGACACCTATGATCGAATACTATTAACCTGCGAATATCTGCTACTCTTGCTGACCATGTGTCACACCCGTAAACTAGGACGGAGCGAACTGCTGTGCAATAAACTCGTCCTAGTTTATACAGTATACCGTGCTTCTCCCAAGGTGTTGACGTCTTCATAATTCAACTTGAGCGAGTCTGTCAACGGTCCTCGAATTTTGCACGATTTCGCAGTTTAAACAAGTTAAGCCTTACTTAACAAAGATTTTGTTTGATTCAAGGCAACGATTAGCCAAGAATTTGATAAATTTAAACAGAAGCATATTGTAAGTACTTTTATGCATTTTTATGAGTGCACAATATAAAATAAACACGTTTCTTACAAAAATAAAATAATATTAATGATATTTCATTATTTATATAAATTGGTCTACACAGAAAATACAAGCAGTATACTATGAGCAGTAAAATATTACTCTTTAAAGAAAAAGAGAGTAGCGAAATCAAATGTGTATGTATGACTGATGATGGCATGACTTATTTTTATCAGTGAAACAGGATGGTGTACGTTTAATCGATAAATTAGGTATCAGTTATTTTTAAGTAATAAATATTGTATTGTTCTGTTGAATAAGCCCTACCTTGACGAATAAAATGATTCAATTAGTTTTATCTTTTATCTAATACTTTTACTTTTATCGTTGACGACATGCGCCTGATTGTCAAGGAACTGCTATTGCTTTATTTGCGGAATACTAATGGTCGTTTCCCTACCCGTATGATATTTTATCGCGATGGAGTTTTAGAAGGACAGTTCGAAAATGTTCTAGTTGAAGAGCTGGCTGCTATCCAGAAAGCATGCTCAGACGTACGCGTTCGTCTACAGAACAATGCCTCCTAAAGTTTTATCTGGTAAGGCCGCAAAGAAAGCCTCAAAGGTGAAATTGCCAAAGGTTGATAAGAAGAAGAAGAAGAGTAGGAGGAAGGAGAGCTATGCTATTTACATTTACAAAGCCATCTGTTAAGTCCACCCTGACACAGGTATCTCATCAAAGGCAATGTCAATCATGAATTCATTCGTGAATGACATTGTCGAACGTATTGCTGCAGAAGCTAGCCGACTGTCTCACTATAATAAGAAATCGACCATATATCAGACACCAGGCTATCAGCATTGATGAGACTCCCAATATAAATGAAGCGGTCAACACGCTCAACATTTTTTACTCCGTATCACTAGTTTGGGAGCCAATGTAAGCCAGTCCTGAAGCAACTTTCTGTATTTTGAGAGGGAAAATCGCATCCCGAACATGCTTCCATTGTTGCTTAAGGTGGTCAGGGGACGGCATTTTATCAGTGTCTTCACCAAATAGAACTATATCATCAGCATACTCTAAGTCAACAGGTGACTCTCATGGTAGATGATGCAAGACGATGCAAGTTTCATCTCTAAAAGCATGTCAATGACAAAGTTACATAATAATGGTCGGCCCTGACGGACATCACTTGAAGTAATCAAGTCTAATGACAGTTCACCATAAGCTCTGACTCAACCAATCGTATTTGAGTAGAGAGTCTGTATAAAGTTAATGTACTTCTTTGGTACACCTTTCAATGACAGACACTACCACAGGACATCACGATCAAGAGTCAGATGCCGCCAGGAACACAACTGTTGTCAAACGCTTAAATGTTTGTCCACGTTCCAGAACCTGACATAGTGTGAATATGTGGTCAATACATACACGTCCAGGTCTGAAACAAGACTGATTTTTTGAGTCTTTTCTTCACATGCTCCAGTTGAGCGTCGAAGTAATATTGATGGTATCTCACTCAATTATACTTCTTGAATAATATCTTGGATCCCCAATCTTTTCCATTACCGCTAATACTTCTACTTTAGTTTTTAGAATAAGATTTAAAAAATAGCAATTCAAATCTATAATGGTATTTTGTCACGTAACTTACTCTATTTAATCATCCAATGACTACTCATTGGAAAAAATAAATAACAGTGATAGAGTTACATGGTTGTGTGAACTGCCTACATGAGGTCAGCGTAACAAGTAGGTGAAAACGAGACCTACAGATTGTTACTTACGTACTAATTTACACCAGTTACCCTTAGTGGAGCATAGGCTTCCGGCCAGCATTCTCAAACCTACTCTATTCCGGGTCTTGTGAAGCAGTTGGAAGCTTTCCATAATGTGTTTCCTATCCACCTCCAGGGTTGTTTCCTAATTTCTTCCTTAGCTCAAATCTGGTCTGTCGGTTGTTGGTGATGGTGTCTGATTAACGAATCCGGAGTATCTTGCGTAGACGACTGTTAATAAACACCTGTATCTTGTGGATGATGGCTTTCGTGGTTCTGCAAGTTTCCACTCCATACAGTAGAACTGTCTTGACATTTGTTTGGAAGATTCTGGCTTTTGCGTTGGTTGACAGTTTGTTTGAGTTCCAGATGTTCTACAGTTGTAGAAATGCTACCGTTGCTTTGCTAATCCGTGCACTCACATTTTCATCACATCCACCTTGCTCATCACTGATGCTGCCCAGATATGTAAATGTTCCTATATCTTCCAAAGCTTCTCTGTCAAACACGATACTTCTACTATCTATACCACTATGGGATTTCAACTGACAATTGCGTCTCTGTGCTAATGCGGTATGGTAACCTGAACTTATGTACTTACGTACGAAGTTCTACGTTGTAACTGACTGACTGATGTTTTGATTGGTGCATGTTGTGTTGTAGCTAAGACTCTTGCTTCTTCCCTCGTGTATGTTGACACCTACTGCTACTCTGGTCGTCTTCTTCCGCATTTGTTGTGTGTGTGATAGATGAGTTAGATCATCTGCGAAGTCCAAATCATCTAACTGCATCCGAGCTGTCCACTGCATCCCTTGCGTCTACTGAGATGCTACTACCAGAGGAGAGAGAACGAGTGGAAATGAGGAGTTTTGTTTAACATCGTTCTTCACTTGCAGTGGGTCTGTTAGCTGTTCTTTATACACAATTTAAAGTTTAGTCCTTCTCAAGAATTTGGTATAAAGTTGATTATCTCAGTTACACCCTAATGTCGAGGAAGCCCTCGAAACCTCATCTTACCCGCGCCGTCAAATTCTTTCTCACAGTCACAGAAGTTGACGTGTGGTGATGATTTCCATTCAGTAGACTATTCTTCAATCATCCGTATTGCCACTACTTATATGACCAATCCTCCTGAAATACAGAACTGGGGTCTCAAGCTCAGGTGTCTAGCGAATCTTTTGTCCGGCTGAACTACCCTCTCTTGAATACCTCGCCTAGTACTAATGGTAGAGTGGTGACTTCTTAAATCTCAGACTAGCTAATATCTTTTTTCTTTGGTATCTCGCTGAAGTGTCCGTCTTTCCAGTCTATTGGTACTTGCTCTTACTCCCGAATCTTGTTGAAGAGAGCGTCGAACATCTTTGCTGTTACTACTACGTTTGCTCTTATTACCTCAGATGGTATGCTGTCTGGTTCGGGTGTTTGGTCACTTCCGGTTTGTCTGGTGGCCATGCTGATTTCTTCAATTGTTGGTGGGTCAGCATCAATTGAGAGATCCGTGATTGCTGCCTTGATATTGGGAGAATTCTCTGGGTTTGGTCTGTTCAAGAGGTCTTCCGATTGTACTTGGATCTCAGTTGATCTGGTTCTCTGTAGTGTGGTTCAATAAGACGAATGAGGCTTCGTGCATGCAGTTGTGTGGGGAATACAGTGCCACCTGTAACAATTTTGTGACGAATTTGTAAATCTCTCATCATTTTCGTTCCATTCTCTCGATCCATGTTGTCTCGTGAAATCTTCCCTGACCGTGGCTGCTACCTTGAAGTCGTGGTCAGACTTGTGTATCGCGATGACCGATCAGAACTATATTGGCTTGAACACCTGTTCTACCATGCCAGGCAGGTGAACTGGTAATCTGTAAGTCTAAAAGCACCAACTTGAGGTCCGGAATTAAGTCGTACTGCTGACTGTAGATAGGTGTGATAAAAGTAATTTGTTACCCTCACACAACCAGCATCTTTAACGTTGCTGCGTTCTCACAACTGGAGGAAGGTGTTAGAAGAGGTGACACCTCACCTTACTCCACGTACTTCTATCTCCGACAGTAGGGCTTTTTGAAGAGCAGAGCCATGCTCTGAGGTCACGCTTCCAGGTCGCTTAGACCGACGCTAATCCAACTTCATTTTCACGTCACTCAAAAAACTCCTCCACGGCGTGGGCAGCCAGTGAGCGACATCCGCCGCCATACTTGCAACAGCAAACGAGATCAACTTACAACTAAATCCTTTCCATACCTCTTTATATTTCTCTTATCTACACGACTCACCCTTCTCTAATTCACTTATCACCTCGTGCCTCTACTGTAAACGTTTCGAGTACACGAAACATAATTCCTGGCCTCCTGAAACTCCGCTCTAAACTACATGTTGGAGCTTTTAATGCTCTGATCTTGTGACAAATAGGACAACAGGCATCCTTAGCTAGGACTTTAGAATCTTGCGCCCTCGATGCTTCTCTGAAACTCACATACAGGATCCGAGTAGAATCATTTATTTGACTTCACTTTGTCAACATAAAGAACCTTGTCGATTTAGGCTTCGTGTATCTGAAAGCCTTGCTGCCGCTTCCCGTGGCCTCAGTTGTGTAGATATAGCATTAAATCCTAGGGCTGAACTATGTCTCTTAGAGTGGATCCCAGCAGATGTTCGCTTATGAGCTGTTCGACTAAACGGGATAGTAAGGCCTCGGAAAGGCAGGATAAGTCTCCGTTACCTCTTCGTTGTATATAACTACGCTCTGACTGATAGTAGTATAAGGTTTCTCAATTTGTTTGTACTATATAAAGAAGACACGTCACTTTTTTATTTGATTCACTTTCTATGCGTGTGTGTTAGTATGACTGAGTGACGTCTCCGTGTCAATTGTTTACGTATTCTATAATTGGTTATGAACATGCGCAATCAATCCACATACTGACTAACACTTAAAAAAATACACAGACGTGATCCTCACTTGTTGTTCAACAACTTACTCTCTGGTGTGTCTGTATGTATTGCGTATTCCCCTTATTCGTTAAAAATACACGCTAACCCCAGTAACTAATGTTTTGGTTATCTAATTTATCTCGCGTAGATTAATAACAGTACTAGAAGAAATGGGCTGCAGCAGTACACCGTTACGTATCCCTCAAATATCATATTACGCTTGAAATGTTTTATTGTAATAAAGATAAAACTAATTGAATCATTTTATTCGTCAAGGTAGGGCTTATTCAACAGAACAATACAATATTTATTACTTAAAAATAACTGATACCTAATTTATCGATTAAACGTACACCATCCTGTTTCACTGATAAAAATAAGTCATGCCATCATCAGTCATACATACACATTTGATTTCGCTACTCTCTTTTTCTTTAAAGAGTAATATTTTAATGCTCATAGTATACTGCTTGTATTTTCTGTGTAGACCAATTTATATAAATAATGAAATATCATTAATATTATTTTATTTTTGTAAGAAACGTGTTTATTTTATATTGTGCACTCATAAAAATGCATAAAAGTACTTACAATATGCTTCTGTTTAAATTTATCAAATTCTTGGCTAATCGTTGCCTTGAATCAAACAAAATCTTTGTTAAGTAAGGCTTAACTTGTTTAAACTGCGAAATCGTGCAAAATTCGAGGACCGTTGACAGACTCGCTCAAGTTGAATTATGAAGACGTCAACACCTTGGGAGAAGCACGGTATACTGTATAAACTAGGACGAGTTTATTGCACAGCAGTTCGCTCCGTCCTAGTTTACGGGTGTGACACATGGTCAGCAAGAGTAGCAGATATTCGCAGGTTAATAGTATTCGATCATAGGTGTCTTCGAAGCAATGGTCGTATATTCTGGGACTATAGAGTAAGCAATGCTGGTGTTGGGAAAAGGGTACTAGGTAAGAGTGACATATCAGTTGATAAATTAGTGAATCTGCATCAGTCAAGATGGTTGGAACTTGTGTTATTTATGTGTTATATACACGTGATCACATGAGAGAATTCCGATAGGGAGGGCGGACTGTCCCCACTCTCAGTCGTGCTGTTATGTATTCCTAGTCATCGACTGACTCGGCGAGCGACAATGCATATTGTAGGGTAGACTGAAAGGAAGCTAGGAGCGGACAGACCCAAACATGGCACAGATCCACGAAGTCACTGACAAGTTGAGCGAGCCATGTTCGTAGGTGTAGACTACCTGGTTGGAGTTTGCAAGACAATAGTGACCGGTGTTTAGCAGCTTTGAATGTCATGTCTCGAAATCGTTCGTAATGACTCAGATGCATCCATAATTTATCATTTCTCAAATTCTAGACTTGTCCATTCCTCATGACCTTTATCTCTCTTTTTAAATTTATTTCACAGGATTATACTTCTTGAATAGTTTCTTCGAACCCTAATCTTCATTTCCGCTTATAATTGTACTACTTGGAGTTTAAACTGAAAATCGCATCTCGGTGCTAAAGTGTTATGGTAACTTGAACTGATGTATGTGCGTACTCAGTGCTGTTTTGTAGCTGACTGACAAACCATGGCACCGAGTGACATACATCCATTATCTTCAATAAGTAACTACCACTTGTCGACATGGTTGAATGCCACTGTCATGGTTCCGTTTTCCAACAACTGTTTATCATGGCAAATATGATTACATGATTTCTGATCCATTATTTCTAGTGATAATTCGTTGCTGAATATTCTCGAAATTGATTGGAATGTGCATATACTTGTTTATAGGTGTTTGATTGTCAAAGATGTCTAAAAAGATAAATTCTTATCTACAATAATATATTTGTAACAGTGTTTTGATAGACTTCTACTAAATAGTTTCAGTATATAACTTAATTTTAGATTATATTTGATATTGAAGCAGATATAATTCGCATCATGAACAAACCGAGATTAGACATCCATTAAAAACCTGGAAGCATTGAACAGTCATTTTATTCTAATATGATACTTATCAAAAGTTCGTATCGATGACCCTAGTCCTGATTTTGATTCTGATATGTGGGGCCGTTGGCATGCTCAACTAAAGAGTTCAATATTGGGACGACAAGGTTGTTCAGTAATTACAGTGGTTGTCTAACTTTGGTTTGTTTGTGATTGAAATGCAATTCAGTAATCTCCACAACCTTAATTTGACATATATTTTCATTATTCTCATTTGTAGGAATTTATTTCCATAAATTTCTGTGCTATCTTGGCTTTTATTGCAATGATTATAACAGCTGCAATTGGTGCAGGTTCAGCAGCTGCAATAGCTTCAGCAGTAAGTCGACGTATATATAGAATTTCTAATTTGCATTTCTTTTTACTAAGACAGACATTTCTATGACATACATATATTCTTCAGAAAAGTAATCTGTTAAAGTGTCGGAATTGTTTAGGCAATTTATCGTTCAGAAGAATAATTTTCATATAGGTGCGTTTATTTATGAGAGAAAATTTACTTTGTAAAGCTATTATCGTCTTTCTAATGCAATATTATTGACAAAAACTTTTAAAAGCATTAAACTAATCGAAATTCATTACGAATGTTGTTGTTTTCAATGACTGTGTCCTCATCGTCTAGCAGTACTTATTTTCACTTACTTCCCTATCGATCTTATTCCTTAACTTATAGGTTGTTTATCATCTTTCGAAATGACTGAAAAATCTCTTACTGATTTCTAAACGACAACAATACCTAACTTTCAGAAATTTAGGGATCTTATTTGAACTAGCCATTTTGTTTCCTATCTGATACAATAACTTTCGTGTACTCTTTTATGTATTTGTGATGCTTAGAAGTATATGTATCAAGAATTAAAGATAGGCACAAACGAATGTATTGTATTTAGAATTCGAAATCAAGCATTTCACAACAACAAGAAGTTAGTAGTTCATTCAAATACCACATCCGCCACCGCTTAAATTGGAATGTATATGTCTGTAATCAGTTGTACGTCTTCTTCTCAAATTCATCCTGTGTCTGTCCGACAGTGTATTGGATAAAGGCTCTGTATTATCTAGAATGCTCTCATTAGTATTAGAATTAACAACCGAAATTGGAACAGACTCACCTGGCTCTTGGAATTGTATTTTATCAACATGTCGATTGTGTGTACTTAAGTCATTGATATCTAGAAGTCGCACCATAGATTTCCCGACATTCTTCAGAACGATCCCCGTGGATGGTCGAAGATCATTGCCACGATAATATGTAACTTCTGCAGACTCCAAACATCTCATATTCGACCGAAGAATTCTTCCTTTTAATAGTTTTGATGGAGTCTCTTTCGTCACTGAATGTCTGGCATTTCTATATTGCAGTAGAAAGGTATCTACTCCCCTCTCCAGCTCATTAAATGTTGAGGCGGCAATAGAATCACTCAACCTCGAATGCTGATTTTTCAGCTTATGACACTTTTCGCAATTCTTTGCTGTACGACAAATATCTGCATTTAATGACTGTCGAGAAATGTAGTCAACATGTTGAATTTGCTTGGCACTCCCGTGCTGAACCATTTTCATACTTCCATTGCACTTAGCACACGTGGCTATCAAATCTTTAAGTAAAGCATCAGAATTTTCTTTAGAAACTAGGAAAGACAACTCCACTTTAAGTCTTCTCAAATTCTTTAAACCCAGTATTGACAGTCCTGTTTCACTAACTAAAAATTCACAAGGTATGTATGAGGAATTATCATCTCTTATTAGCAATTCACAACATCCTCGTATAGGCAGTTTGTGTCCCGTAATCCCCAATATTGATACATCAGTGGGTCGTATCACAACGTTCGGATCTAACGATTTCAGGTTCTTGAATGAAATAATGGACTCTATACTGCCTGTGTCTACAATAAAGTCATGAAATGAACCAAGTGATGTAGATAGTCGCTTTTGAATATGAGCATTACCTTTCGAAATGGTAGTTAAAGATAAATGATCATTAGGATCAGCTGAATTATTGGAATCTAAATTACAAGCTTTAGCACTACTTGAGGCAAAATGAACAGTAGCTTTGCATACTGTTTGAATGTGTCCTATCTTATCACATCTAAAACATTTAGCATTACGAAATGTACAATAATAACGAGAATGAAGTTTTCCACATGATAAACATTTGCCAAACTTGGTCTCACCTTTTTGATTTCCTTTGTAATTCTTTTTTGAGACACCGTTCATATTTACACGAGAATAGGAACCTCTGTTAAACGAACACAATTTTGATTGACCCTGAGATTGCTTTTCATCATGACAACTAATCAAAGTATTGGAAATCTTCATCGACTGAATATCAAGTTCATTCAACGCCTCGTAGTTAATGCACGCAGTTCTAACATCTTGAAAGGAACAGTTTGACATTCTTAACAGCTCTCTTTCCAAACTAGGTATGTTAATTCCTGCAATTAATCGGTCTCTCAGCTGCACATGAAGTTGATCACCAAAATTACATTTGACAGCCTGTTTCTGCAATTCAAGAATAAATTCCTTAACATTTTGGTCATTTTGACGAATCATCTTATGAAATTTCGCTCTTTCACGGCATTCAAAACCAGGGCACTTTACATGATTCAATAATAACTCCTTTAGCATTGCATAGGGAAGTGAAATAGGTTTTTCTGGATATGCCAAGGTTTTCAATAAGCTGTACGCTTCTTTTCCGATGAATGTTAGGAAATGGGCCACAATTTTATCATCTTTGACATCTTTCCTGGTCATACTCCAGATTTCAAACCTTTCCAAATAATCTTCAAAAGCTTCAGAAGTAGAATGAATATCTAGCTGTTCCATTACAAATCCTGCTCGCGACGCCACTGTGATGCTTAGAAGTATATGTATCAAGAATTAAAGATAGGCACAAACGAATGTATTGTATTTAGAATTCGAAATCAAGCATTTCACAACAACAAGAAGTTAGTAGTTCATTCAAACACCACAGTATTCTACATACATAGGAGGATAATCCACTTTATTTTGTGTTAATCCTGCTTGATCCAATTTCCTAGCAGTTTCTAAAAAGCCCAGACTAAATTTGCACAGCAACTTGGACAGATAAGTAAAGGCATACAGTGCAAAACAAAAGATTGGTGATAAGGATTTAATTTAATTCTCAAACCAAAAATTATTTTGGAATTTACCACTCTTATATGGTTTATTTACAGTTAGGTTTACAATCAGATTTGAACTAAGTTGTGTTTAACAATAATAATTCAATAACTTACTGTGTGAATACATATTTACCATAATATAATTACGCACCTATAATACGTCTTAGGGTGTTAATGTAAATTACAAATAAATTAAATCAATACCATTAGCATTCCAATTGATTAACTAATCCTGACCATATCAAAGGTGAGTGATGAGCTCGGCAAAAACTATTTAGATAAACTGTATGTTTATACTAGTAACCTCGTATGGGGTGATATAGAAAGCTTCATAGCTTAACACTTGCCAACTTAGAGAAAATATTTTGCTAACATGAAAAGAATTTCGCTGACGAATTAATTCTCTTACTTAATGAACAGAAAAGTTCTTACCGTTTGTTCGTTTCTTGTCAGATAAACCTTAGTATAAGAAAATCAGTTATCGAGAGATTCTTTTTCAACATTTTATGCATCAGTGAGCTTCAGGAAATACTTTTGCCATCTTTTCAAATCTCCTACTCATCGTTGAGCAAACGTTTGAAGTAAAGATTACATCTGATTATCAAAAGATAGGTGATCTATATCTACGAAAACCTACCTACAAAACTAGTAATTAATGATATCAAACAAATTGTGGTTGGTTTGTTAGAGGATATTCGTACGATATTAGTATTCAATTATAAGTATCTTCGTAACATCGCTCGTATATGCTTGGACTATCCATTAAACAATGCTGGTGTTGGGAAAAGGATACTAGATAAGAATGACATATTAATTGATGAATTAGTGAATCTGCATCAGTTGGGACTTGTGTTATGTCTGCCTAACCACCGACTGACTCGGCAAGCGATGATGCCTGATGTAGGGGTAGGTTGGAAGAAACCTAGGAGCGGCCAAACCAAAACATGGCACAGATCCACAAAGTCACTGACAAGTTGAGTGAGCCATGTTCGTATGTTTAGACTATCTGGATTTGCGAGACGGTAGAAACAGATAGTTAAAAACCTTGAATAACATGTCTCAAAATCGTTTGCAATAGCACAAACTTCTAATCTTCTGAGTTTTTCACGACTGTTTATCCTGTCTCTTAATTTTTCAAAATGATCCCTCTGGGATATACTTCTCTATTACTAATCTTCTTGATTACTGCTAATACTCCTTACTACATCTACTACTATGGGATTTGAATCGAAAATTCGATCTCTGTGTGCTAATGTGGTACGGCAACCTCGACCGATATATGTACGTACGTACGAAGTTCTACATTGTAGCTGACAGACAGATTGTGGTTAATCTATGATTTCAACTATAAAAATTTCCCCCAAATAGCTCTCACTAATAATAATCATATGTTAATGATGACTAACTTTGGAATGTAATCCTAAAAGTTCTTTGAAGACAGTGATTCATAACATGCAATGGAAGAGAGTCGAGCACCCTGATTTGGTTAGACATGTATATCATCGGATAGCACTCCATTGGTCTAGAACCGAAAAGGTTGCAGTGGAATCTAACATTCTTAGCTCGAAACCTCATAGGATAGTGGGTGTGCACTAGTAAGGAGTCTCGTGCTAGAACAAATACCTCATGTTTTTCAGTGGTTTTCGAACTGAAATCAGTCTTAGGCAGAAAATGTGAGGGTTTTAGAGAAGTGACAAATAATATCTTTTATTAGCTATGAAAAACTTGACTCTTTCTTTGTTAATTTTAAACATTCATTCTCGTCTTATTCTTAGTTAGTGGCAAGCGAGGCGTACCTTAATTCCGATGGTAGATATCGGGCTTTAGTCTGAGTGTGAACAGAAACATCACTCCGTACCCTTGAAGAGTCCCAAACGGGGGCAAAACTGTAGTTATGGATTTCACTCCAAGCCGTCAACAAAAACTATAATTAACTTGTGACCGAAGTCTCTGGGTGACATAAATCAGAATTAATCACACTGGCACAGGTGAATTCACTCCCTATTTCTCTCTGAGTTTGGAGTACTAATGTGTATTCATCTCTTCCCACATTCTTTTTTTGAACTATGTTTTTAATGCTTAATCTTCCTCATTCTGCTTGCTGCTAAATTACTTAGATCTGTTTATCTATATTTTTAGTTAATTTAATTTCTTCGTGTTATTTGCCAACATACAT